TCAATGGCTTGTTGTGTCTTCCCAAAGATGTACCGAAATTAATAAAACCAAATATCCAGTCAACATCAGGATGTTTGGAGTAATCGCTCTTGATGGGGATGTTAAACCTCCATTCATCTTCCACCAGGGCCTCAGACTCAACAGAGGACTACATCAAGTGCCTTGAGGAGGTAGTGCTGTCCTGGGTGAAGAGGAGGGCTGTTGGAAGATCCTTTATCTGGCACCAGGACTCTGAATCATGCCACACAAGCAGGAGAACCCAGTCATGGTTGTTACACAATTTATGCGACCTCGTCCCCACTTACACCTGGCCACCTAACTCCCCAGACCGCAACATCCTTGATTATCATATGTGGGGCGCAATTGAGCGAGAGACCAACAAAACTCCTTTTAACACCTAAGAGGAACTGAATGCAAGGATTATGGCAGCATTTATCAACTTAAACATGGAGACCGTCCAGAAGAGTCGCAGAAGATTCCGAAGCCGTCTGGATGCCGTGGTTGAAGCCAATGGCGATTTTACTGAATAAATTTACTCTTTTGTATTTCAAGATATTTTTGGTAAACATATCTGTTAAAATGCGATGTCAGCGTTATCTTCATTTTTGTGTCATTTGGACGACAATTTATCCATCGCACATACATATACGTATGTATGTATGTATGTATGTCAATGTTTAGACTAAAATGTCATCTATATGAGATGATGTAATTATCCGTAAAATACGAAGGGACAAATCAACGATCAAAATGTATTAGAAATAAGAAAGCTTAGACTTTTGTTTCCTAGGAATATCACGCGCCCGTTATCTGCAATTTATTCACCTTTAGCGAAGGTTTTTTTTTTTTTAGATAAGTAATTATCATTCTTGAAGGGTCTTCAAATTATAAGGCAAAATTTAAAGAAAGTATCTAAGCGACCCAAAAGCTAATCACACAAATATAAACTCAGTATTTTCGGATGATACGACAGTGCCCCTGTTATCTAAGAATTCTCTTATAGCCGGTCAAACTCCTCAAAATAAATAATTCATAAAATTTTTCCCAAAGCAACGATGCAAGCAATCTAGAAATAAAAGTATCTATAAAGTCCTAACTTGAAGTTACATTTCTTGATTAAAATAAATTTATGCTGAGTTTTCTAAACTCAACACGAAAAACAAATCATCTCGTCAAAAAAAACTAAATGTGCGGGTGGTGTAATAGCTGAAGGCTTAAAACGAGAAATCGGTGAGCCGAGTTCAAATTACGGTGGGGATCGCACAAATGCCCTCTGAAAAGTTATGAATCTATCTTTTCTCTCCTCGGCTATAAGGTAAATTGTAGAGCAAACTGGATTCACTAGACGTGACCTGTATAGAAAGACAACTCTGAAATCGAAACCGTATGTGTCCCCTAGTGAGACACATACTTGAATTGTAACTAATGTTGCGCTCCGTACAGTCCTTCAGATGTCAACGCCACTTCATAGACCGTAATAGAAAAAGGCAGTTTCTTTCTGTTATTCGCTTTATTAGAAGGACAGACGTGGCAGCAACGATTCTACGAGGCAGCGGGAGGAAGAACATCAGAGAAACGCATGCCAAAAACCTAGAGAAAAAACATAGGAAATCGTGAAGAGCCATGATCGTCAAAATCCTGAAAGATCATGATATATGAAAGAAGATACTGTACATTCTCCTGTTAAGTTAAACCCTGTCAACAAGTAGAGATTATTGCTATCTATAAAATTTCGTTCGTTTGCTATCATTTATTTGACTTTCATACCTTGAGACGCACTGTGTATTGCTTAATCTGCGTTTATTTAATGGTCTTATTTGAAGAAATATAACTAGAAACGTGTTCTATTATTTTTTTACCTTTATTTGTAAAGTATATGAAACTATAAAAAAATCCAAAGCCCAGACGCTCGTTAGTGTTATTTTTTTTTTTTTATAGTTTTGTATTGAGGTAGGTTTGTTGGTTTAAATAATAACAGGCGCGGACCAATTAATATCACAAACCGCCCTGGGTATGACGATAAACTACATTAGGCAATAAAGCCACTAATCGGGTGGTTTGAAGAGCGGGGAACCATTTCTTAATTGTTGTTGTTCCCAGATCCACCCTCAACCGGGGTGGTAGCATCTGTTAAGATTCCGCCCAAACTGGGGTCAAAACACTATGAAAGTATAAAAATACATTTTTATCGTAAAAATACCAGTAATACATTTTCATAATAAAAAATAGCCAGTAATAATTTATTTAAAAAAAACCAAAAAAACAAAAGAAAAAAAACTACCTGCAATTTCTACTAGTAATTTCTTGTAAAAGAAATTACTAAAAATACTAAATTTAAATTTCGACATTAAATTACCTATAAGTTGATACATCGCTAAATAAACAAATAAATAAAACAAAACTAGAATCACTCGTATTAAACTTTATATTATATTTCAATCTATACCTTTTCAATTTCCATCGGCCAGTGTGTAAGTGTATGTGAGGTCCAGGAGAACTATTAATTGAACGTCACCCCTGAGTGGAACTTAATCTTTACCAATGGAATATGACTGGAACGACGATGAGTCAACGCTATGTGGTTCTGGGCTGGTGGCGACTAGCTCTGACGTTCTGGGCTGGTGGCGACTAGCTGTGAGGTTCTGAACTACTGAAACCAAGAATGTAGCTCACCCGAACGTCTACGCGAGAGCCTGGCAATATTTCATCACTGGGAAATGGATTGTTGTGTGAAAAGCAGTTCACCACCCACAAAGCCGCGCTCTTGAACTCTGCCAAAACTGGATAGTAAGGATTGGGCAGCTCCAGCACAGATGTATCAACGACAGTATAGTTTTTTTTATTATTATTATTTTATCTAACCTGCCTCTTGTAAAAATAAAGCTTGGTAGAAGGAGTCAGATAATTTTTGAAGTTGAACAAAGAACCAACCAGTTCTCCTGCATATTAAGCAAAGGATTGTATATTTTATATAGTTCCACCTGAGGTGTGAAGTGAGCTGGAGTCCCAATAGAGGCTGCAGGCAAGTAGCTCCCATCAAAAGTACAACTGATAGACGTAACCGGAGAAAACTCGGGGGTCTGCTATTTGATGGTGAAACGCTACTAGCTTAGTTTACAAGCCAGTTTTCCCCTACTCACTGAGCTGTGTGATCTAGAGGAGAGATCAGTTGCTAGGTTTTAGTTATCTAGATTTTGTGGTCGTATTCAATTAAACTGTGGTATCGTCTGCATATATATTTACTAGTGGTTCGAAAATATTTTTAGGGTTATCGTTAATATATAGCAAAAAAAAGGAGGTAAACCAGACGAGAGAGCTTTGAGAGACGCTTGCATTGACCTCATGGGCTCAATAGATAATTGATCATTAACAGCTGCCTTCTTGAATGGGAAAAAGACATGATAATCCAGATGGCTCTCCTAGAAATGCCATAGCAAGGGATTTGATTTCTCGCTTTGTCTGTTTAATTGCATATCAACACCTTATGGATAATTTAATGCCGAAATGAACATTTCTTGAGAGCTTTGAAGTAATAAAAATATGGTGTTATACTTTCACAATTGAATACATGGTAGATGAAACTCAGCTTTTGTTCATATACTTTTTTGTGTGGACATGATTATGAGAGGCGGTGATATGTGTGTTTTGTTGAAGTTATATTTTGGAATACAATTTGATTTAATCAATTGTAGGATATTATCTGGATTAATGTATTGAAAGTTCTTTCATGTTAGTTGTTTGGTAGTATTTTAAATGGATTTGGTTGAAGTCGATACAATTTGTTAGTATGCGCGTATTGTTGGTAAGTTTTTACTATGATAATGTATCGTTAGTGTTTTTACTCTAAAAATGTATTATACTTTCATAGTGTTTTGTTTTTGTTTCCAAAGGTTTCCCTCTTTGCCCATAACTCGGATCCTAACAGGTGCTACCACCCCGCGCTAGGGTGGAACTAGGAACAAGAGCAATTAAGCGGTGGTTTCACGCTCCTCAAACCTCCGCCTTGCTACCAGGTTTATTTTTTGTCATACCGAGGACTAGTTACGGATTTGACGTAGCAGCCGTCCTATGCCGCATACTGTCAAAAGATTTTGAGATATCTAAGGTAAACGCTCTTGTGATGGGTTTATTATCAAATACTTCATTCATTCTATGCTTAAAAAATATTATTAATAAACAAATATTATCTATTTCAACTTTATGAAGTTTAACTTTACCTACCAAAATAAGATATATAATTTTATCATGGCAACTAATACACTAAGCTGCCAGATTACGTCAGTCTCTACCTGCGTCAATGCGTGGTTACGACGCAATCTTCATTAATCTTGTTTTGACATATGCCGTATTCCTAATACCGAGATAAGGACACTTTTTTTTGTTAAAGTTTGTGAATTCCCAATAAAAAAAAAACAAGCCCAACTTTGTTTTTTTTTCTTTCTTACCAAGATTTGCTGTTACTTCCGAATACTTCAAGAGTGACAAGATCTTACCTTTCGTAATCTCATCTACCGAGAACCAATGACAAATATATAAGCAACTTAAAAATATTCATTTCATTATATGTATTAAGTTCATTTCATTATATCATTATTATATTTATGTGCTAGATTATTACTTCACTATTGCGTTAGCATAGGTGAGTGGCGTAAGTGCTTATTCACTGAAAATCGCGCGTACGTTACGACTTACACGGAAAATTGCATTACGACGCCACGTAGGAACGAAATTCTCTCGTACTTTGAGGACTCATGTATAGACAATATCTCTAAGGTAGCAGTAAATAGGTTAAATATTCTATGTACATTGTATGACGACAAATAAAATGCTTCAAATACAGGAAAATATAGAAGATGCGTTTTAGACTTACCGTCATATACTGCCAGGTTGGCTTTAGCAAAGCAGGTGGATTTACTTGGAAAGTTCGCGTAGACAACTTCAAGTCTTATCACTCTGCCCCTACTTGTCGAAATTAGCCAAGAGCATTCTTTTTTTCTGGAATAAAAAAAAAAAATAACGAGATTAAATATAAACTCTGCAAAATGCACAAAAGTTTTTATTTTCAGACTGGCTTTTATAAGACTTAAAGAATTATGATATATAATCTCATTTTCTATAAAAACGATATTAGCACATTCCAATTATTCAACCCACTCCCACCAGAAAAAAAAATATATATTTCAAAGTATATCAGTTGATTCATTCATGAATTCATTTTCGGCTAATTTGCAGTGTAGGCCTCGCGCTCAGTTTCTATTAAAAATTTCCAAAATTGTTACATTTCGGCATAAATGTACATGCTTAATTCGAAAATAACGACGATAACTTGATGCAATCTATCGTTTTGGACTTATCGACAATAAAAGTTCGGACTCATTCGCGTCGTGGCAGCCATTACTGGCGGTGTATGCATACATTTGCTGCTGAATAGACATTCAATAGTCTTAATTATTACTCACGCAATCAGTCCTCAACTGCGCAGTAATTGAGGCAAGTAAGATCAGTAAAAAGGCCGTAACTTGGTAATCTTTCGCGTATGTCTATTCAGCAGCGAATAAATACAAACAACGCCAGTAATGGCTGCTGTGCCGTAGCCGCCAACGACCCGAATGAGTCCGAAATTTTAGTGCCGGTAAGTCGAAAACGGCATATTTTATCAAATTTTCGCCGATATTTTCGAATTAAGCATGGATATTTACATGTAAATGTAACAATTTAGGGAAGTTTTAATAGAATCTGGTCGCGGGTCCGGCACTGTAAATTAGCCTCGTTTTCTATGGCTTATCAATGCTTTGCAGGTTATTTAAAGTCAGAAAATATTTTTAGATTATAAGGGATTTTTTTTAGAGATAATATTGGTTTAGCGATATAAGTCTTACTAATTAACCCATAGCTGGAGTAAGAGATGGATTCATACCTTTCCCAAGGGTATTTGTGCGTAAGTGAACATAACCACCGTAATGGGAGTTGGAACTTCGATTTCTCATTCCGAGCCGATGTACATTACACCACAACTCTTAATCTAACGTAAAATAAACCAAATGAAAATCTGATTATTTCTGATTAACAGTTCCGATCCCAAATATGACAGCAATACTCCGTTCCGAGTTAATTGCGACTCAGATATAGATAAAGCATAGAAGAAAGATTAATAGGCTTTCTTTTCTATGAGTCAACCAGTTTCCAAAAATTTTTAGCAATAGATTATATATATAAGAATTCTACCTAAGTTCTAGTGACGGTTCTGTTTTGAGGTGGATGTGTCTTGTTAGAAATTCACAAAGTCTGTTAGGGAAACTGACATCAATTGACAGGTGGTCACATACATCCTCCCCATATTTCCCCGTGGTGATATTTTGTTCCATCAAAATAAATTCCATTTAGCGAGAGGAACACGATTATTACAGTCAGCTAAATTTTAAGAATTCCGTCGGTCCAAGGGTGGTTCAGATGTAAACGAAATTGAGAATATACTGAGGCAGGTTGCAGACCCCACTCAATTCACTGCTTCTATACTCAATAAATACTTGATTCTTGATAAGCCTGGATAAATATCCTTGCACAATAAATCCAGTATCTCGAAGACTCCATGTTAGTTTTGGTACACTTCATTAAATACATGTTTAGATTTGGGGACATTCATTTCACAAGTGGCACATGAAGCAACATGGTGTATGTTTGACTTAAATAAAATTTCTGATATGATCAGATCGTTGAACACCGTTCAAAACACAAAGTTTTCCAAGAACTGATGCTATGGAAAACATAACTATATCTAGAAACTCATAATTCTACGATAATTTGATCACATTTTATTCGCGTTTAATATTTCTGCCAATCCATTCTCATTAAAAGGATGATCGATATGTAATAAATGAATGAGAAAAATTATTTGAGGTTTTTTTCTTTTTTTTTATTGTTTAACGTATATCTCATCATCTGTGGAATGTGTTTGAATTCTGGAATCATAAAAGAGGACTAGAGAATCTGAACTTGGATTTAAAGATGTCTCTTGGGATGGAAAAATTCCATAGAAACTAGTGAGAAAAAGGATTGGTTGAGATTAATGACATTGCAAACAAACAAACAAAAGTAAAAAAAAGAATGAAGGGAAAAGAAGAAAGAACGATACCTGGAAAAGATGAAAAAAAAAAAAAAGAAAAAGACATCAGGAAAAGATGAAACGACGGAAAAGATACAAGCAAAAGATGAAAAAAAAAAGGAAAAGACAACAGAAAAAGATGAAAAAAAGGAAAAGACAACAGCCAAAAGAAAAAAAGGAAAATACAACACAAAAGATGAAAAAAAAGAAAAGACAACACTAAAAAATGAAAAAAGAAAAGACAACAGAAAAGATGAAACAAAGGAAAAGACAACAGCAAAAGATGAAAAAAAAAAGGAAAAGACAACAGCAAAAGATGAAAAAAAAAAGGAAAAGACAACAGCAAAAGATGAAAAAAAAGGAAAAGACAACAGCAAAAGATGAAAAAAAAGGAAAAGGCAACAGTAAAAGATGACAAAAAAGGAAAAGGCAACAGTAAAAGATGAAAAAAAAAGAAAATACAACAGCAAAAGATGAAAAAAAGGAAAATACAACAGCAAAAGATGAAAAAAGGAAAATAGAACAGCAAAAGATGGAAAAAAGGAAAATACAACAGCAAAAGATGAAAAAAAGAAAAGACAACAGAAAAAGATGAAAAAAATGAAAAGACAACAGAAAAAGATGAAAAAAAAGCAAAAGACAACAGAAAAAGATGAAAAAAGCAAAAAACAACAGAAAAAGATGAAAAAAAAGCAAAAGACAACAGCAAAAGCAAAACAACAGCAAATTAAAAAAAAGAGGAAATGGAAAAATAAAAAGAAGAAATAAGGAAAATGAAGGCGGCAAAACGGAAGAGAAAAAGAAAGGAAAATAAAGTAAAGAATAGAAAAGAAACTGACGTCGTCTTCCTCTGAATTGTTTTTGCTTTCAAATAAGAAAATTTCAGGTTCTTAATTGCATATAATTTTAAACCAGTAGAGCATATTTTCGAGCAAATAAACTGACAAAAAAAGAACAGCTTTTAGATATCCTATTTCCGATCGATAAGCTTTTATTTCACTGATAAAAATGAGTAAGATTTATCTTTAAATTTAGACAGCTTCTTGCTTAAACACGGATACTGAAAAACTTAAATGTACGACCACTTAGAACTTCCCACAATTCTAAGATAAGCAAAAAAAATCCCAAGACACCTTGTTCTTCGCTGAAAAGACTAACATTTGCAGACGACTTTAAATCTGCCATTCTTCTCCTCGTTCAGCTGCACTGACATTTATAATGGCGAATATCACTAAGTACAAAACATATGAATATGGAAGCTATTGATAATAATAATATTAAAAATAATTGTATAATTATAGCCAGTGAGCGTGAAGAAAATAATATAAAACGTCTTATTGTTACAAAAGAAAATATCTGAATTCTATAGATATAATTGTTTTCATTCACTAAGTCATACTTAACATATTTTAGAATGTGACAAAAACATAAACATAGTAATCAAAGTCCAACTAAAATTGTCTTCCTCTGAATTTTTCTTTCTTGAAGAATCTTGTTTAAACGTATGCAGTCATTTTCTAAAGTCAAATTGTCTAACCACTGCTGAACGTGAAATCAGCAAGCAGAGTTCAACTTCCGGTCGTTATATTCACTTTAGCGCAAATACCCTTCGCGAAAGGTACTCGAACATTTGGCCGACGGGCATTTAACCGAAAATGTAGTGGCGTACTTACATGTATGTAACTCTCTTTATCGTAATGTCCTACATATATTTATATTTATTTATTGTATTAATTTATAAGTCTTCGTTTTTTGACAGGCTTTTTTTAAAAATCTATTTTGTATATTTTAATTCAAATATTACTATAAGATAAAATATTGTCAGAAAAAAGCACATTTTTCTGCAGTAAAAATCTTAAAGCTTTTACGATATGGAAGATTTTTCAATTTCGTTTTTAATGATCATTATCTTCAACGGATGAACTAGCTTTTATCTTATTGTTAAATACGAATTTAAATAATTAGCTGCTACTTTTTACCTAAATACACTCAAATATATTTTTTAAAAATAACAATTATTGAAATAAGAAAACCTGTATATTTAAATTTAGATTTAGCAATTTAATAACTTGAAATTCAGTGGTAATTATTAAAACTATTCTACATTATAAAACTGCGAATTAAAGTACTTAAAATATTGCTTGTTACTATTTTTACTTGTACTTTTTCGGTGAAATATCTGTTCGGGTCAAATGCCTTTCTCAAATGTCCGGTCACGTTCAAATAATAAAAAAATATATATGAAAACATCTACTCTCAGCTATGAGTTAAATGGTCGTCCATATTGGGCTTTCTAGCCGCGGTCGGCAGTCAGTATAGGACATCATTGAATTCAAAACATTATGCGTCCCTAATCAACCAAACTAAACCGTTAACTATTAAACCACGCCTATGGTCGAAGCATATGAGAGAAAGTTGTTGAAATAGCTCGCCAAGACAGCCTTTGAGCAATTTTGATAGATATTTGTGTAAAGTTTACCTAGCTTTCTATTCTTATGGAATCAGCGAAAGGTTAGGAAAAATTCAGAATCTTGTAATGGAGTCACCAGAGGAAATGAAAATCAATCAGCGTTTTTTCAATATTTATTTGATTGCCTAATTTCTTTTTTCTGCTTGTTTTTTTTAGAAAAAAATAACCAGCGGTGATAAGAAAAAAGATACATTATAAAAATCGAAAAAAAAAAAGTGGCTTGATCTCGGAGAGACTTCAATCTCACGACCGAAATATAATCTCGCATAAGGGGGAAATAATCTGTTTGTCGGTAGAGAAATGAAAACCCTTCTTATAAATTGTTCAAATCTGGTTAGGTTGCCTAGTGCTGTGGTCAGAAATTAGCTTGTTTTTGTTTTTTTTTTCATGTACAGGAGATTAAGACGTAATTTTGGAAAAAAA